CTCACACCAACCAAAAACAAACAGCTGAAGCAGAATAGCCCACAAACAAAGGGTAGTGAAAGAAAAGCCTCCCAGTGGTGAGAACTTCATATTGTACCACAAGTTGACCTTTCATTTAGAAAGAGAGATTGCCTGAGATACAAATCTATTTTGAATCACAGGCAATAGATTATAGGTTGGCCAGCTAATCAAGACTTGGAAAGAATAAAAGAAATATTAGGTGACAAGAAAGTTTGGGGGAAATTTATGAAAATGGATCTTTTAGAATGGACAAAATGTGAATATGTTTTTGAAGGGAATGTTGCCTATAGGCTATCCACTGGGAAAAAAGGCTCTTAGTGTGGCATAAGATAACAATGTTCTATTGATGTCAGTCAGCTTTTTTCCCTTACTACCCTAGCACTGTTCAATACATTAATATATAATGTAGTCATGCCAAAAGGAGTGGAGGTTAGACAGAGGCACAATATCCACTTCCCCTTACCAAGTCTGAATCTGGCTATGGAAACTACTGAGTGTCTAAACTGCGACCAACAGAGACTAATACTGAGCCCCTAATATGGCATCATTCCTTGGAAATCTTTTAATGGATCATGGAGGAGGAACAATCAGTTCTCACTTAAAAAGACACTTTTCTGGATACAAAACTGACTTCCTGATGGTAATGTTTTTGCCAGTACCAATATTCATGTATTGAAGAAATGCCTTATTGATCTATGGCTTCCCATATAACACTGGTTCTAACCAAGGAACTCATTTCACAGCAAAAGAAGTGTAGTGCTGGTATCATTCATATATACTGTTACCCTGAAGCACCTAGCTTGTCAGAACAGTGGAACAGCCTGCTGAAGACAGTTATGGCACAGGTTGGGAGGCAACAAACTCAAAGCTTGGGACGAGTGTGTATGCTTCATATCAGTGACCAAAACTGTGATGTTTCTCATACTACCAGAAAGCATGGGTATGAGAATTAAGGAGTGGTAGTGGTTCTTTTTATTATGCCTAACAACTTAACAGAATTTTTGTTTCCTGCTAATTTGGGTTCTGGTGGTTCACAGATCACAGTTCCTAAAAATGTAATGTTTCCACAATGCTTTCATAGAATTAGAACCTGAGAATGCCACCTGGCAGTTTTGAACTCCTCAAACTATTCAATCAACTAGCAAATGAAGGGATACTAAGTTAGGTGAGAGGTCCTGATTACCAAGAAAAAACTGGGTTGCTGCTCTACAATGGACTATTTTCTGGTCTTCTCTAGTTATCTTCAATGAGTTAAACAATAGACAAAGAAACATACAGTATATCTGCCTGGGTCAGAAACTAAATAGGAGTTAACAAATACCATCCACTTAGTCAATGAGGAAAATTACACTACTGGTTCATAACATTTTTAGAAAACAGGGGCACATGGGTAGCTCAGCTGGTTAAACGTCCGATTTCAGCTCAGGAAATCTTGCAGTCTGTGAATTTGAGCCCTGTGTCGGCCTCTGTGCTTACAGCTCAGAGCCTGGGACCTGCTTCAGATTCTATGTCTTCGTCTCTCTCTGCCCCTTCCCTGCTCACACTGTCTCCCTATCTCTCAAAAATAAACAAACATTAAAATTTTTTTTAATTTTTAGAAAACATAGCATGTGCTGTCTACTAACATGAGTAATACATTAGCACTTCCTTTTTTTTTTTTTTAAATAGTTTATTGTCAAATTAGTTTCCACATAACACTCAGTGCTCATCCCCACAAGTGTCCTCCTCCATGCCCATCACCCCNGTTTATTGTCAAATTAGTTTCCACATAACACTCAGTGCTCATCCCCACAAGTGTCCTCCTCCATGCCCATCACCCCCCTCCCCCCCACATCCATCATTCAAGAGTCTCTCATGGTTTGCCTCTCTCCCTTTCCCCCACCATTTCTGCCCTTCTTCTCCCCCTTGTTCCTCCGGCAAGTTCCTCCTAATCCTCCTATACGATTAGCACTTCCTTCTAACAACAACTGCCTGCAAAAATAATGTTTAAAAAGGTTCTGGACAATATGCTAAATACATAATATATTATACCAAGATGTAGTAAATAAACACGCACACATTTGATGTTTTATGACTGAACTGTTTACATGTATGATGGCATAAGTTACATAGTTGTAAACATATTGTATTAATAGTATATTGTCTACTGAAATAAGCCTTGGAGGATAAGGCAGAACACTTGCTTATATTCCTGACTCTATCAACATCATGCTATATCATCTGGGCCAAGTCATTTCATGCCTTATCCTACCTATAAAATAAGGGATAGTAACATCAGCCTTTACTTGCTTACAACTAAAAAAGTAACTGCAAAAACAAAGCTGTGGGAGAAAGACCTTACACACATGTAATAAATTCCAACTTTTTTACCAAAAGGAAAAAATCTTAAAACAAAAGGTGTGATATGTCTAGTTTACTGACCTTGAATAGGGCTGAGTGGTACCAAAGAAAAAGCATGGCTTTTAAAATGAGACAATCCAGACTTCACCTACTACACTTGGGACCTTGAGTAAATTTATGTCAACTCTCTAACCTTCAGTTTCCTGATCTATGAAATATGAACATTTACCTCTTTAGGGGTATAGTAAGTATTAAATGATTTAATATATGTCAATTACCTGACACAGTTTCTTTGCCTTAAACTTTATGGGTACATTAAAAACTGTATTCCCACTTTTGAAATCATACAAAACTCTAATTTCAAGAAAAGCTATAAAGCATAGGGATTGGGCTGTTCTCCTTCCAAAAGCAATTCATATTAAAAAATATTTTTGGTAGCTCTTTCCTATGTTGAGGTATGAACTGGCAAGAGTCAGCTGTATTCACAGACTATATTCAACTTTACTACAAAAGTCAAATATACAAAACAAAAATCCTTTTAACTACCTACATATACCATTCCTACTACTGTGTCTTCCACTTTCAGTGTTAAGCGATGAGAAACTAACATTTTCTTTTTCTTTGGTCAGTAGATAAACAAGAGGAATTTTCAGTTATGTCAAGTCCACACTGATTTCAAAGCTAGAGAATAAGATTAGGAAGGAAAAGAGTTGAACACTATTACTAGATACAACTGATATTAATGTGTGCACATGAGTCATTCCTTTAACAAGCAAACGAAACTAAACAAAAACGCACTCTGATGAAAGTTAAACCCCAAATATTACAGCAACTTTATCAGAAATCAATTTAGTGCTGTATCTCTCTACTGATAAATTGTATTAAGTAAAAACTATCATCTTTGACAGGAGAAGCAAAACAATGCTTCCAGGGATGAGGGAATTTCTACAGTTCACCCACAGTGAAATACTGTCAATTTTAAGACATATCCAATATGTACTCAGAACCCAGCAGCTGAATCCACAAGGGTTTAGCAAGCAAAAATTTTGGCACTAAAAGTGGAATAACATTTACTCAAGAATAAAACTGGAGCCATAGTCAGCAGTCTAAATTTTTTAAATCAAGAAAAAAAAAATCATGAAGGAAGTTCCTGTCATTAGAGCTGGTTTGCTTTCTAGACAAGGGTTTCAATAAAATTGAATACTTTTGAACCAAAAAAGAAAAAGAAAAAAAGGAAAGAAAAGAAGAAAAGAGCAAACAAAAAAACTTTGGTACAGATTCTGGAAATCAGCCACATTTACTCTGGATAAAACTCTAACAATTTTTTGTTTGTGTTTTTTTGTTTGTTTGGTTTGGTTTTGGTTTTTTGTTGGGGAATAGGTCTGTTAATCACTAAGGGTAGTACCAGTACCAAACAAAATTTGCTTCCTTTCTAAATATACACAGTCTCCTATAAAGTACAGCACATTTTGCAATTCATGGTGAATTTCTTGATGGTTTTGCAACAGCACTTTTCTTTCTCTTCAAAACAACCTCATTCCTAGTCTGCTGTTTCTGTTTGCCTCATCTGCACTTAGCAGATCATGCTTCAGTGACTTAGAAATCCCAGCCACCAAAATTCAAGCCAAAGTCTGAATTGGGGGTTGGGGGGGAGGGTCAGGAATCAAGTAATTAAACTACACTTGGAAAGGAGAATGGTTTTACCTCCTATGACTTTCTAAGTGTCCTCTTCTAATCCAAACCAGAGTCTCCAATTTTAAGGAAAGAAAATTTAAGAAAAGTTATTTCTAATTTAAGGAATTATTTTGTAACTTAGAGTTCTCTTGGCATCATCCTCCAATTTTACCTTCCGGCAATGACACAAAACCATGAAGACCATTCCACATGTTAACAATGGATTCTTCAGAAGAAATAGTTCAGTGCTCTGGGAAGTTTCATCAATTAAGAACTTACTCAAATTGTTACAAGTTATCATACACTTAATTTAGAAACCAAAAGTGAGGGGGGAAAAGAATGCAATAGTAAGGTTGGAGACAAAGGCTGAATTGGTAGATAATAACCATGCTTTACAGCTACTGAGATTCAGTTCTTTCCATTTTATGAATTAGAAGATGGCCTTGAAAAGCTTTCTTTCTTTCTTTTTTTAAATTTATTTTAGAGACAGAAAAAGACAGAGGGAGAGAGAAGGAGGGACAGAAAGAGGGAGGGAGAGTATGCACACAAGAAGGGGAGAGGGGCAGAGGAAAAGAGTGAGAGGCCAAGCAGGCTCCACGCTCAGTGTAGAACCTGACACATAGCTCAATCCCACAACCCTGGGATGACATGAGCTGAAATCAGCATTCAGACACTCAACTGACTGAGCCACCCAGGCACCCAAAAAGCTTTCTTAAAAATAAAATAAAACCACCTTTAAAAATAGTACCACCCATTCTGAAATAACATAATACCGTTAAAAGCTGAAGACTTTAGGAAACTCATATAATAAAAATGTCTGAAAGAACAGTAACAATATTAATGAATTTCTACACCAAAGAATGCTGTATCAAATGTTCTATCAAAAAGTGAAACAAAAAGATTAACAATCATCTCTTTTTGCTTTGCTAAATTCTCATCCTACCATTAAGCACCTTATAACATACCTTTGTAGAATGCCATTTTCCTGGGGTATTACACCATTGATAGCTGCCTGCAAACAAAAAACAGAGAAGCCCATTTAACAAAAAAAAAAAAAAAAAAACAAAAACAGAAAAAAACAAAAACAAAAACAGAAAAATGCTCAGAGATGGGGTGGGGTGAAGAAGACTACAGGAAAATAAGTATACTTTGGAAAATGAAATGCAAACAAAATACTAAATGTTTCCCTAATAATACAAAGTATTCTCTAAAATTTTCTCTACTTGCTATAATAAAACCGTATTTTAAGAAAAAAAGGCATTTGACATATAGTATACCTACATCTTGAATCATAAAAAGCTTAGTTCCACAGTCTTCATTCAAGCAAAACACCCACAAAAACTAATGTTTAAGAATGTCAGAACAAGTAAAATCAGTACCTTACAGTAATATTTTTAACATTATTTCCTTCTTCAGATTAAGAAGTGATATAAAATCACAAATGAAAAATTCCAATAAGAATTTTAAATTTAGCTCAGAAATTAAATTCATTCTTTCATGTTATAATTATTAATCTTCATAAAAAGACCATCTAGAAGGAAAAAAATGTAGAGGCATGATTTCTTTGATAAACAATACCACAACTGAACCAGATTACAAAAGGAAACAGGAGCATCACTGGGAAGTTTCCATAAAACATTCCTGAAGTTGGTCTCTGCTAACAAGTCACCAATTACTCAGAACATAGCACAGATGTGACATGATACGGTTTTTTTTGCAGACTACTAAGCAAGCAGGCTGCTACATCCTGGATTGTCACTACAGGGTAATAGAGAAGATTCCCTGGAGAAAAGAACTTTGCCTTTCCAACTCTGCCTCTGCATCATAACAACTTCTTCCCTCTCCATGCCCATCCAAATCCACATCAAAATGAAAAAACAAAAAACTAACACTTCAATACTTTATTAGCTGCCTGAAAATCAACTCCCAAAAGGAGTTAGTGTATTTGGTGAAACATTAACTTAAATATTTGCCAGAAGTGGGACAAGTTTATAACGTTATTCTGTTGAATGGAAACAGAGTAGAGTGTAAGGTGCTTACTATAAATTTTGAGAGTTATAATGCTCCACTGGCGAAAAGGAAGGAAGGAAATGAGGGAGGGAGGGGGCAAGGAGGCAGGGAGGGAGGGAGGAACGAACGAACGAACAAACGAGAAAGAAAGAAATCCACAGATTAATACAGACAGTGGATTCCATAGAACCCTGACGACTCTGGAGGCTCATAAATCCCTTGAATCAAACATGCTAAAATGGGTTTTCAAAGCCACAAATGCAATGGAAGTATCTCTGTCTACAGCCAGGTCAATTATCCCTTTTCTTTTGACAGCAATGATTCCATGTACAAATATCTTCTTTGCTAAAAATTAGAAAATAGTAAGAGAATTTTCTGTGCTTTTGGAAAAGAAACAAAATACCAGAGTTCGGAAAGACTGTTCAAATTTTCTCTCAGGAATGCCAAGGTGTAATGGAAAGAATATTAAGGATTTATAAAGTCAAAAATTTGAATCTAGACTTTCCCACTTATTAATTTTATGACTTTAATATGTTCTATAATTGCTGAACCTCTTTGAGCCTCATCTTTATAATCTTTATAATCCTATACCCTGAGGCAAACTGGGCCTTTTTGTTCCTCAAGAGCATCAAGTTCCTCTAATTCTTAGGTCTTTAGAAGATACTATGTCTGTATGAAATGCCCTTTCCTCATTTCTTGTCTGGCTAAATCTTAATGACAAAATTTGTTAGATATACTTTTTCAAAGAACACTTCTTTGGTCAACCCCCTATCTATATAGGTTTATGCTCACATAGAACCCTGTGCTTTTCCTTCATAGTAATTGATAATTACTTATTTGGTGGTTGTTTTATGTCTGCCTTTCTCAATAAGGTGTAAGCTGTGTGAAAGACAAGACAATAACAATTTTATTCACTACTTCATCCCAGTTGCCTAGCACAGTGCAGGCACTAAATGGTACTCAATACTTATCTGTTAAATTAAGGATGCTAGGGAATACAAAGAAAAAAAAAAAGCCACAAAGCCAAGTGACCAAAGCTCAGAAAGCTTCCTAGATGAAACAACGTCTCAACTAAGACTGAAGGATAAGTGAAAGCAGCAAGAAGGGGTAGGGGCAACACTGTCCAGAAGGAACAGTGACACACCTCCACTTTCTTTCTTCTAAGATCTTAGAACGTTTTAAATAATGTATTTGCTCTTGGATAGGAAGTTGGTCCCTGATTCCAGCCTTATGTACATAATAAATTCTGTACATAAGTATGTAAAATGTAATCCAGAGTGAAGGTACAATAAAAGTATAATTTGCTAAAGGCATAAGAATAGGTAAAGAGATTTTTGTGAGGATTAAGAAAAGTTTCAGAAAAGAGATGGCACTTAATCTGGACACTGAACAATGAGTAGATACAGAAGCAAAGGAAAATCTCAGAGGAGTTCAATTTTGAACAGTTAACTTTGAAGTGACAGTAGGATATCATTTGTTCAGTTAAAAAGTATGTAATTAATTGCCAACTACACTACAAGCTCTGTGCTAGGCAATGGAGATATACTAATGAACATAACATAGCTGGCGTTCTAACAGCAACAAAAATATATTCAATAATTAATTTTACTATAAGCAGTTCAGGTTAATATCCAAATGGAGACCAAAAGTAACTCAAAAATTCAGAGCTAGGTTAATTAAAGCAATATATGTTTAAAGGCAAATAAAAGAAGCTCTAAAAATATTTTAATTCCCTCTCCCTATAAGCTTTCTTCTTTGGTGAAGAGAAGTGACAGAAAGTATTGGGGAATTCATACATGTAAGAAAAAGACAAGAAAAGGCTGATGACAAAAATTAAAGTAGAACAGTTAGATATAAGGGGGGAAAAACCATGAATATGTCACAGAGGGAGCAAAGAAGGTACTGTACAGAAGGATTAGACAAAACTAAAAAATGTGAAAATAGTCTAATATTATCAGGCCTAAGAAGAGATTATTAGGCTTATTTTTTAAGTTTTAGTAAAAATTAGACTATAAAAGGCTAAAAAATACATGGGAAATAAAGTATAACTCTTGAAACTGATTAAAGTATAAAAATAGGAATATTAGTATAATACTCATTATTCTCAGTATAATACACTTTAGTTACTAACAAACCACCATTTTTCCAGGCTGCAATGATTACATCAGCATAGCAATATCATCAACTCCATTCTTATCTGCAGCCTTCTCAGCTGGCTAATCTCCAAATTACTGATTGCAGATAATTAAAACTAAATATTTAATACATTTAAGTTACAAGAATTATAAACAAATAGAAAAAAGCTATTTAAAATTTTATGAAAATAGAATAAGCACATTTTATTATATATATAATCCTGAATATTAGTTGACAGAATTGAGTATAGGCAACTCTACATATTTCATATGTTTGGAAAGCCTGTGAACCAGGATAATTATTATTAACACTGGCTTTGTTGTGTCCATTATCCATTTCTCCATCTCCTGAACATACTTAATATACAGAAAAATACTTTATATAATTAGTACACTTGGGTTCAATTTGAAATTATTACTCTATGGTATGTCAGATTCAAATATTTTCAAAATAACTAAAAAAATAAACATTGGGTCCACAAAGTACAGTACTAGTATTTTAGCATTCACAACTCTGATCTTTCCATCAAGTGAATTCTTCGAACAAACAGGGACTTTCCCTCCTCCAATCATACTGATCCTTTATACAGAATATCCTCTTTTCCACCAGTTCAAATTTGTTCATTCTTTTATTCACTGAGCACAGTGTTTTAGGGCTGGAGAAAATATAAAAATGACGAGACACGTTCCTACCAGGACAGGCAGTTATAGAAACAACTAATTGTAAAGCAATGTGAAAGGCAATATGGGATCATGAAGGAAGGAATGCCTATTGCTGCCTAATGGAGTTGAAGACCTAGATGTGAATCATTTTCTTCAAGAAAATTTAACTGACTCACACTACCTTTTTCTCAATGAGTTTCTTTTTTTTTTAAGTTTTCACTTAAATTCTAGAGAACATACAGGGTCAAATTAGCTTCAGGTGTACAATTCAGTGATTCAACACTTACAACACCGGTGCTCATCACAACTGCACTCCTTAATCCCCATCACCTATTTAACCCATCCTCTGACCCACCTCCCCTCTGGTAACCATCAGTTTGTTCTCCATAGTTAAAAGTCTGCTTCTTGGTTTGCTTTAAAAGTCTCCATGATTTTTCCACTGTGTTGTACTTACACAGCACTCATGCATCTTATTCATTCATTTGATATTTCATTCATTTATTCCAAATTAACCATCCAACAAATATTTAACTAATCATCTGGAACTATTCTGAGTACTGAGAAAACAACAAAAATAGATATAAGTGCCCACACTAAACTGATAAAATCATCCTCCTCTCATGATTTCGCCGAGTAGAGCCAATGAGAAGTTCTCTAAGAGACCACCATTCTACAGCTATGAATTGTAGAATTTTCACCTTTTATCTTGTATTGGGGGGAAAGGGGTAACACTTTGTGTCTCCTCTACTCTCAATAATACTCCACTACAAACAACACTACTTCACCTGACACCAGATGTGTGGGTTTTCTACGCATCAAGCAATTCTCTAACACCAGCTAAGTGTTCTATAATTTAACTCAATTCTGACACTACCTACCTGGAGATAGCATCAGATCCCACCAGTTAAAGGCTCAGGCCCATCAGATGACCCCCTCTTCAGATGCTAATCACAAAGTCCAGACTGTTACTTGTGCTTCTGACCTACCTGCTATATAGCAGAGGTTCCGACAAACCTCTCTTCAATTGAATTAATTTGATAGAGCGACTCAAAGAATTCAGGAAAACATTTTACTTATTAATTTACTAGCTTATTATAAAAGGATATAATTCAAGAAAAGCCAGATGGAAGAGATGTCTAAGGAAAGGGATGTGGGAAGGCATGTAGGGCTTCCATGCTCTCTCTAGGCACACTCTCCCTCCACA